ATTTTCACACAATAGATCTATGAAATAAAAAAAAAATTAATAAAATAAAAGATATCGACATAAGATTTATTAGAATAAACACATTATAATTAATCAAAACTATGTGAGATTAACTAATAAATTAAATTTTGATCAATTTATATTTTTCTATATCAATCAATATAAAATATATCTACAAATTTTGATTTTAATAGAAAATTTTTTTTGTAATTTGGTTCCTATACTATTATTATAATAAATAGAAAGAGATCAAATTACAAATAACAGATTAATAAGTTTATACGTCTAATTTATTATTATAATAGAATGTATTAATGAACATTAGCATCAGATAATCATTGACTAAATCTTCAAAAAATCTGTACTTAATAGATTTGTAAATTTGTAGACATAGTTTTGATTGATTATAATATGTTGCATCTAAAATTTTACATACTTTGTAGATTTATTAGGGCATGGTTCATTTTGGCTTGTTTTATCTTGATTTAACTCACCAGTACGTTCATCAGGGTGTTCGTCAGAGTATTCGTCAGAATGTTCTTCAGGGTATTCTTCAGGGCATCTTTCAGGATGTTCCTCAGGGTATTCATCAGAGTGCTTATCAGAGTATTCGTCAGAGTATTTATCAGAGTATTCGTCCAAGTGTAATTCAGCTTGATATAACTCTTTAAATATGATTCATCTTGGTATGTTTCATCTACATACAAATTATCTGGATTTGATTCATCTTCATACAATTCATATGTATATCAATGTGATTTATACTCTTGAAATTCTTGAGAATATGATGACATGGTAAGTTAATTGTCCGAATTGAATTTTTTTTTTTATTTTATAGATCTATCGTGTGGAAATATTTTTCTAAAAAAAAGAAGAAAGGTCATATGGTATACGGTATTTGCGATACGAAGTTAATATACAGTGATGGAACAACATCGAATCTTTTAAAACATCTCAAGAAAAAACATAAAGCAAAAGTACCTGAATTGAAAGAACAAAATATAGAAGAAAGCACAAGTATTTTAAATATGCTAAATAATCAGGCTGTCGTCGTGAACCCTTTAGCCAACAAAAACTTACTGATTTGTTAAAGAGATGGGTTGTAAAACATAATCGATCATTTCAGATTGTTGAAGACAATGAACTTAGAGAGATACTTATTGATTTAGAACCTCGTGTAGTAGGTAATAGCAAAGCATTTTAAGTAAATATACTGTATCGTTTCAAAATAACACTCGGGATATTATTTTAAGACATATTGCTTGAAGAGAGCTAATAATTAATTTAACTGAATATGAATCATAATTTTTCGTTATTAAAAGTCTTTGGCTAGATTAATTATTAGCTTTCTTCAAGCAATGTGTTTCTAAATAATGCTCCAAGGCGATGATGTAGTATTTAATGGTAAAATAAAAATAAAAATCTAAATATTTATGAATTTCTTTAATATCTTTCGCTAATCTTATAAAGCAACATATTATGAACAATGTTGAAAAAGAACATGAGCAGCTTCAAAAAAGTCTGCAAAAAATTCCTGGATGTATATCAGTAACAACTGATATCTGGACAACTTCGACTAATGAAAAATCATTCATAACTATCATGGTTCACTATCTAAATGCATCGTGGAAAATGAAACATATTCTACTTGATTTTATTCATATGGAGGAATCACATACAGGTGTTGCAATTGCAAATGCTATAGAAGTTTGTCTTTAAAAAAATAAAATTCTCTCTAAACTAATAGCTATAATATGTGATAATGCATCTGCGAATATAAAATTTTTGTGTGATTTTGCTAATTCTTTACTACTAAATAGTTTTGAGTTCAATAGTACCCAGCAATCGATATGCTGTTTCAGTTATATTTTAAATCTTGCTACCTAAAGCATTTTAAAAGTTGTAGGAGATGAGTTAAAAAAGGTCATTATTTTGTTTAACGCATATTATGTATTGAATTTTTTTTAACTTGACAGCATTGCCTTGCTTTGAGATGTTATAAAATACTACTATATTGAAGTTATTTTTTTACTTTTTTTTTTAATAGCTACATAGATTAATTAAAAGTATTAGAGAATCACGTATACACTGTAAAAAGTTAAAACAATATAGTTCATTGAAGCCAATTCTCGATGTGTCGACCTGGTGAAACTTCACCTTTTACATGTATGAGTATTAGACGGTATATCATTGGCTAAAGCGAAGTTACATCAGTATATTTTGGTTGATGCTAAATGGAGAAAGATAAAGTTCCTTGTTGAGGTTTTACAACCTTTTAAGGATAGTTAGTATGCATAGCTATACTGCAGTACAAATCCTAAACTATTATAGTTTGGATTTGTTCATACCCAAATCCCAAATTCTGTATCTCATTTGGGATTTGTTTGGGCTTTTGTCAGCGACGCATAAAATATAATTAAATTTGGATCTTCTGCAGTATAGATGCAGGTGATACCATAAATAAAATATATTATTAATCAATTTAAAATAGATGTTACCTACATGAACTACAATAGATTCTCAAAATATAAGGTAAGATTAGTATTATAATTGTAACGCACTTATATTTATTGACGATATTTTGCGATCGCCTAAACAGAATCAAATAATTTTAGTATTATTCGATTCGTTTTATTGAGATGAATTGAATGATACAAAAATTAATCAATTATCAATACTTGAAGAAAGTTATATATTACGATGTAGTTATTATCTATTGTTCTCTTTTTCCTATTTGAGGTAATTGTGAAAAAGAGATCAGCAATATCTTAACACAATATGAATATTGGTATGCATAGTGTATCAAAATACCCCAATCAAAAAAAAGCTTGTTAGCTTTTTGAAGTTTCGAATTTTAAGAGTTTTTTTTTTTTTTTTTTTAAATTAGAAATGTTTTTTTTTCTTGACTTGTCAATAGATATTAAGTCATATATTAGTTTAGTTCAATAGATTTAGAAATACATAATATTATTTTTTGAAGATTTTTACTATTAGCACTCTTAGATGCATCATAATACGTACCTGACCTTACCTTATATATAGCCTAGATAAGGTATTATTAATTATTTATTCTTTACTTCAATTTAGTAACAGTATTTATATCATCGTCGGAATATCTAACACTGTCAATGATCATCTCTCTCTATCATTTATTACTTGAAACGCTTAAAGAAGCTAGACGAAGAGACAATATTCCAGAATAGTTAAAGCAAGGGTACGAAGCTGCTGCTAATAAACTTCTAGAATATTGTCAAAAAACAAATATTTTGCATATTTTAGCAGTTGTATTAGATCCACATCATAAGATCCAATATTTTGAAGAACTTGGATGGCTATCTCAACTTGTTACTCAAATTAGAAATACATAAGTATTCACATCTATAATATTGAAAATGTGTCAAAAATTAAAATCTGGTTATTCTATTGTTCAATATTGATAAAATTTAAAAAATTCACTATATTGAATAGCATGATTCAAATTGCTATTCAACACTATCATGACTTCACAGATATTCATGTCTGTGAAATCATATGATAGTGTTGAATAGTAGTTTGAGTGGCATGCTATTCAATATAGCGAATTTTTTAAATTTTACCAGTGCAATCTGAAATATTTTTAAATTTTTATTGAATATATATACTATTATGAAAGGGTACAAGTGTTTTTAAAGATGAAAAGGAAGAATTCGAATATTTAGAATTTGCTAATAGCGAGATTCTAAAAAACAATTAAATTTTGGAAACTACTACCAAAATAGCACAGACATTTCTAAATGAAAAGAAGGCATTTTTATAATATTTAAAATCAGTTAAAGCAAAAATTTTAGTGAACAATTAAAAGTTGGAAACTGTTATCAATATAATATAGATATTTCTAAAGATGAAAAGAGGACATTTGTGTAGTATAATCATCTCTCATTAATATCAATCTATTTGGATCACTATTATATTCATATTGATAGTGATATTAATGAGGAAACATATTAAGGTTGATATATATGAGAGAATTTTAATATAATTTTAATATACTTGACCTTCACTAATATCAAGCCATTTAGATCATTCTTATATTCATGTTGATAGTGATATTAGTGAGGGATCATAGTGAAGTTAATATATATGAGAGAATTTTGATATATAAAAATTTTTAAAAAACTTTCTTGTAGCTTAGGTTGATATTAATATAGGTTGATATTAACAAAGATCATGTGTATATAAAAATTCATTTTATAGCTTAGATTAATATTAGCAGAATTGATATTAATAAGGAAAGATTGTTTTAAATATATGAAGATGAAAATTCTAATAGATGATATTGGGTATAAGTATAAAAAGATAGTATTTGAATGGTATTTAAAATATGCTAAAGGTGGATATTTTAATAGTCTATTTAATATTAGATTTTTTATATTAAAGCATAGGCATTCCTAAAGATAAAAGGATGACATTTGAATGGTATTTGAAATCTAGAATTTTTAGCAGACAATCAAATATTGAGCCTTCTTATCGAGGTGGCATAGCATTTAGAGATTAAGAAAGTTAAGAAAGTCAAAATAGATCGTAGAATAGCAAAAAAAAAGTATATATATTTATATATATATATTTTTTTTCATATATATTTTTTAGAACCGGAGCTTTTAAAATATATGGACAAGGATTTATCAAATTTAACTTTAGACTAATAAATAAATATATTTGTATATTTTAAAGTGTTAAGGATAAATATGAAACTCAATATTCATATCCTTCTGCTAAAGAAACAACAAGCACAACTATATAGTCATCCACCAATATAATATCACGAACCTTTAAATGTATATGTGTAGAATAGCAAAATAAGCTTGATATGTATTTGATGATGCCACGTATAGATCCACATATGGATATTTTAGAATAGTAGCGAGTAAATAAAACCAGCTATCTGAATCTTGCTAAATTCGCCAGAAACTGCCTTCCAATACCCGCGACGAGTGTTTCAAGTGAGCAAATGTTCAGTATTAGTGGTGATATGATTATTAATAAACGAAATCGTTTAGATAGAAAAACCGTGTATGCAGCAATGTGCTTAAGATCATGGTGGAGAGAATTAAACGATTAATATATTCGTAAAATCTGAATTTAAATTTTTGATTTTATTTGTTGTAAATTTTTTTGCATCTTATTTTTTTTAAAAAAAACTAAAATCTGCTGTAAATATGTAATGGAGTAAGTATGTAAAATGGTTTATTATTAATTCTTTTTGAATTTTTATTATTTATATGTATTTAACTTATTATTAATTATAATATGTTTAATCATCACTATTTTAGAAATAAATTACATTGATATTTTCTTGTTTATTAATTTTAGGATTTTTTTTTATAATTTCGTATTTATAAATAACACCAATTAATAATTTTGTGTATATTACCATTATGCATTTGTATCATGAAAATATATATGTATGTACTATATTGTGTAATGGCAGGGTAGAAATAGGTCTTTTAATTTACCCATATTTTTAAAAGTACTAAGAATTTGACTTAGAAAAGACCTGCTAACATCTAAGCATTAGTAATTTTTGAACTGATAAGCATTCTAATTTTTTTTCAATTCTTCGCTAGCAAAGAGGCTTTTCGAAGATATATTCTTATTTATATTTAGCATCTAATCATAAATTATCATTCAGCAAATATTTATCAGGTGTTCTAAAATTTGTAATAGCAAATTATACTGAAGTTATTAATTTGAAAAGGCTCTATA